TTAAATATCCTAAATATAAAATCATATTCTATTTATAAATTTATTCAATAGAGTCTCATTTCCACTCAAATTTTAATTTTTTCTTTCAAAAAAAAAAAAGTCAAATCACTCCAATAAAAAGAGTTAATTAGACCCAACCTACATATTAATCAACACCAGGTTGAAAAGCAGGCGTAAAACACTAGCCTCGGCATCTTTATGAAATCAATTTCTTTTTCCCGATCTCTTTTATTCAAAGCTTCTCCTGAGCCGAGTGAGTTTCTTCTGTTCGCTGATGCTTCATACGGAAAAATTATGAAAGTTTCTCCTCATGCTCCCGGATCACTCACCGCTTTAGCCTTGTCAAGTAGTATCAAACGCCCAATGGCCATTGGCTACGACGTTTTAGAGGATAGAGTATACTGGACGGATGTGACAAGGAAGACCATTTCTCGTTCATTCATGAATGGCTCTATGTTTGAGGTACTGTTTCACCAAAACGTCCAGATACCAGCTGGATTGGCTGTGGACATTGTAGGAAGGAATCTCTACTGGACTGATAAAGGAAGTGACAAGCTGGAAGTATCTAAACTAGACGGTTCCTATCGTAGAGCTCTCATAACAAGTGGCCTAGGCGAACCGAGGGATATTATACTGGATGTTAGTAAGGGGTCAGTAGTTTAAATAGATATAAAAAGCAACAAAACTTACTAATAAGTCGACTTGAAGATATATATAACTGCTCACAATAGAGGCAACGAAAGATGGGTAGCTGTCGCATTTTAGTGAAGAATAATTCAATACTGATTCAAAAATTGTTCAAGGTTTTTTATATCTGGGCATAATGACACTGTTTCTAAACGTTTTCCACTGAACAGGGCTAACAATTAAACATGATTTAACGGTATTCAGACGGGGGTGGCTCTTGAGCTCTCCTTTGCTAAGAAGTTGAATAACTTTAAAGCTTTTTAAGCTATGGCCAATAAACTTAGCGAGTTTGCTAAAAAAGTATCTGGGAATATTTTAAAAGGTCTTCTTGCCGTGTATTTCAACATTGACATAACTATGGTAACCGAGCTTTGACAGGCATTGTTTTGGATTTGTTTTTTTTCTACAAAAAGGGTTATTTTCCAGTTAATCATTGAATTATAGCTTTTCAATTAATATAGCAATATTATATCCAAGTTAATATGAATGCTAGTGTATTCCAGGCTTTTTAGTGATTGATTTGGGAAAAGAAACATGAATTAAAATTGACCAAGTAAAATTGAATACATTTATATAAATTCAAAATGGAAGATCCAAGATGGTGGGCGGTTCCAGTTCCTTCTTCAAAGAGAAATGACGTCATTATGACATCACTGCTGTGGTTAAAGGTCACTAATGCGTTAGGTAACTAATTTTGTCGCACACCTTACCATTTAAGTATTATTCGCTTTGAAGGGAATAATTGATGGCATTTGGATTCTACCAATAAATTCAACATAAGGACGTCATAATGACGTCAAATTACGTTATTCTCTTTATCAAGTCATTCCTAGAAGTTGAAAATGATAAATACATTATTATGTGCAATTTTGGTGGCCGTGATATCAGCGGTTTTGAATTCATAGGGGGCCCCTCCAAACCCCGTATGAATAATTCACCCTGAGGGTTAAGTGTTTTTCACTATAAAAGTGGACGCAACGTCGTCAGGTCGCATTGCAAAAACCAAGAGTGATTTTATGTAAAAATAACAACATCAAGTGACCGAGAAGGGTTGTAAGGTCTAGAAGATAGGAGAAAATCCTTACAGTGTTACTTACTTTGTATTTGATAGAAACATGTATTGGACTGATTGGGGTTACCACCCAAAGATTGAAAGGGCGGACATGTCAGGAAAGCAGCGGGTTGCTCTCGTAAACTCACGTCTATCGTGGCCAAACGGTCTAACGCTTGACAAAGACAAAAACCGCTTGTATTGGGTGGATGCTAGATTTGACAAGCTGGAATACTTACACCTGAGTACGAACATCAGGGTGACCTTCATATCTTCTTCAGCAACCCTGCATCATCCTTTCGGGTTAACACTTGTTGGAGATTACTTGTACTGGACTGACTGGAGAAATTACGCTGTTTATAGAGCCAACAAAAACAGTGGAGATGTCAGTATATTTGTCACAGGTATTGGGAAGCCTATGGACATACATGGATATAATCTCAGTGAAAAAACTACACCAGGTAAAGAGATGGCGTTTTCTACAAAAAAAAAAAAAACGTTTAATATGTTGTTGATACTTCCTTGGAGTGGAAGTTTTAGAGCAAAAAAATGGCAGCGATAATACCTCAGACGTTGGAAAATGTTATAGGCAAATTTGTTGTATCGCGCTGCGCGTTTTGCAAACTTCGAAGGAATTTTGGGTTTTTCTGTTCCGTCAATCATGTTAGGGGACCTCTTAGGAAACACATGTTTACTTGCGAGTGGGTATTTTGATCCACTTTGTTTGTTTCATTGTTTCAAGGTTCGCTGCTTGTGATCGCCCTGTTTAGCACTGTTTCGGGCCTTGATCGACTAGTTTTCTTCGAAGCTTTTTATGATCTTTCTTATTCTTGTCTCTTGCAAAAATAAAGGAATGTCTGCCTCCTGCCCTTAACAAAAATTCCACTCATCGTCGCGATTTCCTTCGCTATTCTTGAACAGTTTAGGGTCATTATCAATTTTGTTTTTACAAGCCAAGCTGGGCGAATGGTGATTTGCGTTAACTCCACCCCCATTCAAATGATTGACGGAACAGAAAAAACATTCGAAGTTTGCAAACACGCAGCGCGATACAACGAATTTGGCTATAAGAAAATGTGTATGTCCACTTTTTATTAAGTATAAAAAGAAGGAAACGAGAAAAATTACACTAGAAGCAGACAGGTGATCCTTTTGATTTGCTACCACAATCAAAGCCTTTGTTTTCCTAAACATCCTGCAGAGAACTCAGACATTTTTTCTATTTTACTATGTCGACTTTTTTGGGCAAATGAATAAACTAAAGCTAATATAACATCATTGCTATAATATGACAAAAGTATATTTATGTCGCATTTCTGTAAAAAAAGCCTTCAATTAGATTTTTTAAAATCTAATTGAAAAAACACCATAACACGTTTTTCGTTCAAAAGCTAATTTGGCACGACTGCAGTTTACGATTGCCATTCCTTGGACTCTAATTATCAATATTGAACTTGACTTCACATTATTCTTCACGTTTAGACATTTACTTTCCACGACTTACCTACAGATTATTGGCTCATTGCGTACTTTCTCTATTCAGGGCATGCTTTAAGTAATGGTTCAATTCTACTTGCTTTTATTTATGTGTCTTGCTCTATCCATTTACAGTCACAGACCAGTGCAAATACAATAATGGCGGATGTAGTCAACTTTGTTTGCTTACACCATCTGGAAGAGCGTGCACTTGTACAAGAGGCCTCATTCTAGATGATGACGGAACAACTTGTAAAGGTATGATAAATTACGACCAGGGAGGCACGACTTTTCCTGCGTGGAATTTCAAGAACAAAACATTCGGTCAGTGGAGACTTGCAATCACAATAAATTGATTCCAAATCCGACCACGCACTGATTCTTTCATCCTTTCAAATGCTAGATGATATACAACGTCACTCAAACCAAA